GAAGGGACAGGCAGTGGGCTGAATCTGAACCCTTGATCTCTAGGCCCTGGAGACAGGCGGATCCCAGTGCTGTGAATGCGACAGGAAAGCTGCCCCACCCCAGGTAGCCCCATGTTTTCCTCCCTAGCCCCCCTGAAACTTGCGCCATGCACCTGCCTCCTGTAGGGTTGCCAGAGAGATGAAGTAAGGCCATAATTTAGTTCTGCCCACCCACATGGCCTAGAAAGCTATGTCTGCTGTTTATCTGCTTTGGAAAATCTCCTTCATTGTATGCCATTTATTAAGACAAACACTTTCAAAGCCTGGCTGTCTCAGTCTGTCGAGCAGGTGACTGGTTTTTTTTTTCTTTTTTGGGGGGTGGGGGGCTCAGGCCCCTGCCTCTTTTTTTTTTTTTCTAAGTAATCTCTACACCCAGCGTGAGTCTTGAACTCATGACCTTGAGATCAAGTGTCAGATGTTCTACCAACTGAGCCAGCCAGGCACCTCAGAGGGAGCTATTCTTGATCGTGGGGTCCTGAGTTAGAGCCCCTCATTGAGCGTGGAGACTTTTTGAAGGAAATAAAAGGGGGGGAAATAAATAAAAGGTCCCTCTGGATGCTGTGCGACGGAAGGCAAGTGACTGCTTTGAACCTCAGTAAATGAGAAGAACCCTGGGATGTTTGGGGAGCAGGGGGAGCTGCAAGCCACCTGGTCCCTCCTGAAATAGAAGCTCCCTCAGGCATCTGCAGAGGGTGTATGCCAGCTTGTCTGGGTTTTGACTGATAGGGGAATGTTTTCTTGACTGGCAAATATTTGTGCTCCGCAGTTGGCGAGGCTTCCCTCCCTGATTTTCACAGCCTGGAAAAGAGCCAAGGAAAAGAGCTGGTGCAAAGCTGAGGTTCAGAGAGACCACGCACGACGGGACTAGCAGAGCCCGGGGGCCACATCACCTGAGTCTCCTTGTCCTCGTCTGTAGAACAGGGGCAGGGCTGCCCTCACCCCACTGGGCTGTTGAGAGAACAAGATGAGACGGCGAGCATTACACACTGTAAAAATGATGACATCTTGGGGTCTCAAACAGGAGCATACGTCGGGGTCACCTGGCCGGGGGGGGGGGCGGTTAAATGTGTTTCCATACCCAGAAGCATGACTCGCAACAGTCGAGAGGTGGAAACCACTCAAATGTCCTTCAACCGAGGAACAGAGGAACGAAACATAGCCTGTACATACTGTGGAATATTATTCAGCCACAGACAGGAATGAGGAACTGATTTGTCTACAACGGGGATGAACCTTGAATTCATTATGCCACGTGAAAAGAGCCAGTTACAGGGACGCCTGGGTGGCTGAGTCGGTTGAGCGTTGGACTCTTGAGTTTTGGCTCAGGTCAGGATCTCATGATCGTCCTGCTTGATTAAGATTCTCTCTCTCCCTCTTCCTCTGCCTCTCACCCGCTCGCCCTTTCGTGCTCTCTCAAAATAATAATAAAATAATAATAATAATTAAAAATAAAATGCCTTCCCTAAGCTCCAGATGTAGACTTTCTGATTCAGTGACCATACACCTTACTGTCTCCCTGGAGATTTTTGTAACTGGGAAAATTGGAAATTGGAGGGATTTGCTCCAATATGGTTCAGCTCTGAGCCACTCTTGAGGTCCAGAGAGGACTTCCAAATGCCTGTCCTCACGGCTGGTCTTTGAAAGTGGGGGAGACAGGATACAGATGAGGGGGAAGGAAAGGCGTAGGGACAGACCGGAGGGATGTGGCGCAGGTAACCTGTTGCTTTAGACTGGGTGGTCCGAACTCTCACACCACTACTGGCTCTTGTAAAACAATGCCTCCCCTCGAAGGTGGGGGTGACCTGTGTGGTAATGAATTAAGAGCTGGAGATGAAATAAATGGGGACAAAGTGACAACCCTACTGTGCAGAAGAATTCCAAACGATGTCTATAGAGACTCTGCCCTCAAGAAGGTGGATACAGGAGGGGCACCTGGGTGGCTCAGTCGGTTAAATGTCTGACCCGGCTCAGGTCATGATCTCGCGGTTCGTGGGTTCGAGCCCCACGTCGGGCTCTGTGCTGACAGCTCGGCTCCTGGAGCCTGCTTCGGATTCTGTGTCTCCCTCTCTCTGCCTCTTCCCCGCTCACCCTCGGTCTCTCTCTCTCAAAAATAAATAAACAGTAAAAAAAAAAAAAACCAAAACTATCAAGTTCATCAAAAACAGAGTCTAAAAAACTGTCACAGAGTGGAGAAGCCTAAGGAGACATCACTCAATGTCACTTGGGGTCCTGGAACAGAAAAAGGACATTAGGGAAAACCTGAGTAAATGTGAGTAGGAGTGGACTTTAGTTAATGTTAATAACAGTATATCAGGAAACAAGTGCTGGTGAGGATGTGGAGAGAGGGAAACGTCTTCCACTGCTGGTGGGAATGCAAACTGGTGCAGCCGCTCTGGAAAACAGTGTGGAAGGTCCTCAAAAATGAAAAATAGAACTACCCTACGATCCAGTAAATTCTACTACTGGGTATATATCTAAAGAACGCAAAAACACTAATCAAAAAGATACATGCATCCCTATGTTTATTATAGCATTATCTATAATAGCCAAACTATGGAAGCCGATAAATGGATAAAGAAGATGTGTGTCTATATACAATGGAATATTACTCAGCCATAAAAAGGATGCAGTCTTGCCATTTATAACGACATGGATGGAGCTAGAGCGTATAATAAGTGAAATAGGTCAGAGAAAGACAAATAGCATATGATGTCACTCATACGTAGAATTTAAGAAATAAAACAAATGAAGAAAGGAGAAAAAGAGAGGCAAACCAAGAAACAGGCTCTTTTTTTTTTTATATATATTTATTTTTGAGAGAGCTAGAGAGACAGAGTGTGAGCAGGGGAGGGGCAGAGAGAGGGAGACACAGAATCTGAAGCAGGCTCAGGCTCCGAGCCATCAGCACAGACCCATCAGCACAGAGCCCAATGCAGGGCTCGAACTCACAAACCATGAGATCGTGACCTGAGCTGAAGTTGGCCACTTAACCGACTGAGCCACCCAGTCTCCCCGAGAAACAGGCTCTTAAGGACAGAGAACACACTGATGGTGACCAGAGGGGAGGTGGGTGGGAGATGGGAGAAATAGGCGATGGGGATTCAGGAGGGCACCTGTCCCGATCAGCACCGGGTTGTGTGAAAGTGTTGAATCACTGGATTGGACACCTGAAACTCATAAACACTGAACATTAACTAACTGGAAATAAACCTTGCACCTAAAAAAAAAAAAAAAAATAGTGTATCAAAATTGGTTCATTAATTTTGAGAAATGGATCAGAGTAGGGCAGGGGGAAATAGGCGGGCACTCTATGGGAATCCTCCATAGTATTTTTGCAACCTTTCTGTAAATCTAAAGCTATTCTAGAAAAAAAAAGAAAAAAGAAAAGAAAGAAAAGCTTATTTAAAAACATCTTGGGGCACCTGGCTGGCTCAGTTGGTGGAGCATGTGACTCTGGGTTTGGGGGGGGGGTCATGAATTCAAGCCCCCAGGCTAGGTAGAGGGACTACTTAAAAAAGAGAAATCTCTCCTTTAGGGGCTCCCCCAGGCATCTAAACACCCCTGGAATTGAACCTGTTGCCTCCTTCAGGATAGTCAGGGCTACAATACCTTCGGTTACATTAGAATTCAGCCCAGCAGAATGGCACTCGGAAAATGAGTCAGCACCTTGGACTTGGGACCTTAAGGCAGCGGACCTTTCCTACAATGACACAAGTGTCCTGGAGCTGCCCCCTCCAGTAAGGCAGCCACTTAGCCCCATGTGGAACCTGAACATCTGCAGTATGAGCCACAGACTCGGGCCCGGGGTCCTCTGAAGGGTCAGGCAGGCTTGCGTCTGACGTTGGGCCTGCGACGCGCCGACGCATCCCCGCAGGTGATTCTTGGGCTGAGCGTGTTTGGGAAGCACCTGTGGCCCATCTGTGCAAAGCGTGTTCATTCAATCCTTGATTAATTTACCTTAAAGTCTGAATCCCGGCCACGTGAGGGCGATTTTCTTCTAGGGAGGGGAGCGGCCCAGCACGGTGACGAATTGCTCTGCAGAGTGGAGGAGGTCGGGGAGGCACCACCTGCTTGTACAGGGGAATCACCTGCCCTATGCCCAGGCCGCACCTGGACTGAAGGAGTCACCACCTCTGGGGCATGGCCCGGCCAAGGCTAAAGGCCCCTGAGCTAATAAACGGACTCCAGGCTCGTTCCTGTGGCCTCTGGGAGGAGCCCGGGGGAAGCTGTGACTCACAGCTGGTGTCACCAGGAGGGGGCTGGAATTATAGTCACGGCTGCAAAAGGGAAATGCAGACTGGAAAACACCTTCATTCCCTGGTCTCGGCTGAAACAAGTCATTAGATAGCTCAGAGCAGGGGCCTGATGATAGGGCAGGATGGCTTCCCTAATGGGGACGGGCCACCCAGCTGAGCCCCAGGAGCCTGAGAGCCATGGCTCCCACGTGGGGGGCTGTCTCCCCTCCAGGGGCTCCAGGGTGAGGGTGATAACATGACCTTGTGGCCAGCAGTGACTCTGACCGACAGGTTCAGCTGACCGGCTCCAGCTGCGGCCCACTCTGAACGTCGCCACCTCCCGGAGCCACCGCGGGGCTTGGGGGAGGATGACACAAGTGATGCTCAGAGGTGAAGGCTCCTACTCTAGGCGGGAGTGGCCTTCCTCAGGACGGCCCTCGAGGCACCAGTCTCCCTGCTGAGTGTGCAGCAGAGGCCGGCTCTCCACGGCCTGCTGGGTGAGCTGAGGACAGGATCCTGAGCTCAACGAAGGGCCTTCGGAGGGATGTAGGTTGGGGCGTGACAAGAACAGACTCACGTCTTAGGACAGAGCTGCTGTGGACGCAGCGGGCGTGGGAGGCTGGAGCAGAAGTCCAGGTGAGCCGTGGCAATGGCCTGGCCTAGGGCAGCCGGGGGGTGGGGTGGGGGTGAGGGGTGCCAAGAGTAGGGACAGAGCTCAGAGAGTACCTGCCGATCCAGAAAAGCCCTGCAGCACAGGTGGCCAAGGCGGTTCCATCCACCTGTGGCTCCAGGCAGCTGCCCTTCCCCGGAGGGCCCGCGACCTTCCCCCTCCAGGCAGGCCTCCAGGGTTTGGGTGGTGGGGGAGCCATCCTGCCAGCCTCTGAAGCACATCACTGCTGAGCCGGGCGCTCTCAAATGGCTCCGACATGGTGCGAATACACTCTTGTCTTTCTGCCATCTGCTGCTGTCATTAAAAAATTACATTTCCATCTGTTTTCACGCTTTTCTCCCCTCCCAGCCTCCCCTCCCGGAGGCATGCAGCGTGAGTCCCTAGTCAGGGGCCGGGCCGGGACGTTCCCTCCCCTCCTGGAAGCTGGGAACTTCTCCGGGACACGCCCGGGTTAGGGGTGACAGGCTCTCTCGGCGGCCAGAGCCCTTCATGCCCCTCTGTTTCCTCTCCATTTGCCACTTAACCGCTACCCTGCTCCACACCCCAGCGACACACACTTGGGGGGGAGCCATTTACAAAGCGTTTTTATTGTTGGTTTTAATCGGCATGCACCACTCTGGCATCACAAATAAATGAAAAATAAACTACAGACATTAGTACCCATTTCCCCCAGGATGTATTTAAGGAAGAAGAGAATCAGGAAGTGAGAATCAGGGAGCCATGCTTTGGGCTCAACTAAGTCATCATTCTAGACCAGCTCCAGAGAGACACCCACTCCCCACCTAAATATAAGCACCCCCCCACCCCCCGGCCTTCAATTGAAAGAGGACTTCGGCTGCCTCCGTTCTGACCTCAAACTGTTTTTTGTTTTGTTTTCTGAAGATTTTATTCTGGGGGCGCCTGTGTGGCTCAGTAGGCTGAGCCTCTGGCTTTTTT